GCACAAAATTTAACATGTTACAGGAGAACAAAAGAGCTCATGGCAACAGCGGATTCCTCCTGCAATTCCCATTTAATGGATCCATACGCTCTCCCTCCAACAGAGTACAGAATACAAAAACCTAGAAAGGAATGTAGTAACTGGGACAGACTTTGCCCTGGATCAATCCGCACAACCCCAACAATGTTGGGAACAGTTAGAATCCTTTAAAAAAGGCTCTTGTTGTTCTTTGGTATATTACTCTGCTGGACAATGAAAAGCCTCCTGCTTGGCTACCCTCATGGATATCCTGAAAATATGCTAATCCTGACAAACTGTTGTCCCCCCAAAAAACCTTACCCTCCTCCCCCCAAAAAGCATTGTGTACATATATTTTGTATAACCCATTTTTGCTTTCATTTTTACCTTCCCCATGGTATGTGTGGCCTCTCCTGTTTCTAACTCTGATATACAGTAGCAGCCTTCCATTTGACAAATCCACTTCACATTCCAAAAATATACTTCTAAAAGGAGAGGAGCACAAGGATTGATTGGAGATTTGGCAAATTGTAGCCAAGTTCACATCAGACCTAAGATTCAATGGCTGTGACATATTCATACGAGCTGAATTATTACATTCTGACCTAGGTACATGTTATGTATAGAATGGATTTTCTTCCCCCGTTTCAGATTCCACTGATTTCTGAAATTTGCGCTTATTAATCTGTCCGGCATTGATGAACTTTTATGGATACGTAATGCCTTTCTTGTCAAGAAAAATAAGCTTGCCATCATTTTCCTTTCAGAATCCACATGCTTCTTCATATAAAATGTTGAGTTTCATGTCCATCTCTTCTTTCTCTAAAGTTCAGAGCTATTTGCAACGATTTACAATGTTTCACTAAATAATTCTTCCACCCGTCTCTAAATATCAACATCAACTTGTTTTGAGCTTAAACCCTTCCAATTTAAAGGTGACCTTTAACGAAAAGCAGTTCCATAACTGAGGGACAGCGATTATAAACAATCACCTACCAATTTGTCCTCTTCTTTCTTGCTGGTTAATTTTGAAATAGTTGAGAAGGGGTCTCAGTGTTACTCTGCTCTTATTTTTTTTTTACCATTTTTTTTTTTACTTAAACTAAGCACACAGCCATCAGATCCCCTTCCTTTGGACTCTAGCATATTTGATTTATTTTATTTGTATCCTTGTTTTTTTTATTTTTTTTACAAATAATGCAAGGGCGCGAACATATTCAACATACTTTCCTCCTCCTATTTTCCCCACAACAAGAGCACTGTGAGGTGAATTGGGCTGAGAGCATGATTGGCCCAAGGTCACCCAGTTGGCTTTCATGTCTAAGATGAGACTAGAAATCATTGACTCACTTTTTCTAACCTGGTACCTTAACCATTAGACCAAACTGGCTCTCTTTTGGTAAAAAACAAAAAACACCATTTACTACCTTATAGTGGAAGAGCCGTGGTGGCGCAGTGGTTAGAATGCAGTACTGCAGGCTGCCTGCAATTTGGCAGTTTGAATCTCACCAGATTTAAGATTAACTCAGCCTTCCATCTTTCCGAGGTTGGTAAAATAAGGACCCAGATTGTTGGGGGCAATAGGCTGACCAGATCTGTCAGCCTCTCAGAGAGGGCTGTAAAACATTGCGAAGCGATATATAAGTCTAAGTGCTATTGCTATAGTGCATTTCAATAACTTTTCTATTCAATTGTGTTTGATTCTTGAAGACTACCAGATTCCTGCAGTTTTCTTGGTAAGGGTTTTCAAAAGTGGTTTGCCTATTCTTAGGGCTGAGAGAAAATGACTTGCCCAAGATCACCCAGCCGACTTTGTGCCTAGGACAGAACTAGAACTCACTATCTCGCACCCCCCAACAGGCTATGCCTTAAGTATTACACCAAATTTTCAGTAAAAAAAAAAAAACAGCATCAGAAAATAGACCTGGTTCAGAATCCAGGATCCTCTCCCAAGAGTAGAAATCCTCACCTGACTGCCAATCCATCAAGTAAAAAACAACCTGCATTCTCTATTTGATGCCAGCTATACAGTTTGCACCCAGCCCCCAGGCTCTGCCCCAAGGCCTTTATCAACAAGTCCTCCTACAAACCTTTATTCACATTCCTTGATCAACAAAGATTGCAGAGAACACTGCCTGTTAAAATTACAGGGGAGAGCTGCAGTATTCGGAAACTGGCTAGTGGGCTTAAATGTACTTTGGCAGGCCCTGCTAAGGCCTTAGCTTAATTTGCATCTTGTTTGTTCACCAGAGGCTTCCATATCCAAGCTTCTCTGGATGGCTGCCACCAAAACCTCCATTTCCCTGAAAAGAGACAACTTTTAAAAAAAGGGGGGAGGGCAAATGGAGAGCTGGCAACGAGAAACTGTTCCAGGCACTGAGGAGAAGCAGGTGGGGGGTGGGGGAGAATATGATCAAGCATTTCATTAAATGCACCAATTCAATTTTATGCATGACTGTTTACTCCAAAGCAAATCTTTAACACCAGCTATTTCCCCCTCTCTTCAGCCTTTTAATCTTACTCTAAGGACCTATTGTCTTGTGGGTCTTCCTCCCGGAATCATTATGCACAGGATTACTTTGCTTTCTCCAAATCAGTCCCTTTCACTTTTCTTGATACCTACTGCATGTACTCAGGTGATCAGGTATGGGTTCTTGGCAAATAAGAACTTTCCAACCTTCCTCCTTCCCCCCCCCCCAACCTTCCTTCTTGTAAAGACCCATTTCAAGAGAATTTGATGGATGACCCCTTCTTTTGGAACATCTGAAATTCAGATTCCATCACAAAACACATCCAGCTCTGCGGCACTGCAGAGCATCCAATTTTTTGATCTGGCAAACTTTTATCAAGACCAGTGACAAAATAATGGGACGTTATCGATGATTAGATCGTTATTCACAAATCGCCATAAATACAAAAGAATCAGAAGCAGTTGGGAATAAAATAACCTGGACTCATAATAGCTGTAGTGGGTGGTAGACACGGCCCAGAATTAAGAACACCATGCAGAAACAAAACTCCATTTTTAATTCCCTCTCCACCTCAACAGAGAGCGGGTATGCCCAATCCTCAGAAGCTGCCTGCCCTAACCTGACATCCTGATAGGGCGTAGGACTGCAACTCCCACAGTTGGCAAACCACCTGGAAGGCAACAGTTTGGGAAGAGCTGCCCAAATGCATCTGGGATAACTTTTGCATATTTAGCTGCATGTAAATCTGCAAGGTGGGGGGGGGAGGGGGAGAGAAATCGACTCCTACATTCATTTACCTGGGGAGAGTGCGGAGGTAGCTACACCGAATCTAGATTTGCCACTGGAGAGCAATTAAGTGACATCCAGCAGAGGACAAGTTGTCCAGCCTTTCCCCCACCCCCATTGCTTCCCCCCAAGACCCTTTCTGTCAAGAGCGCAAGGGGAGGGGGAGTCGTTTGGCCAATAGGGAAGCAGAAAAATCTGGTTAGCCAACATCAGCTGAATAAACACCAGCACAAACGAAGGGGGGAGGGGGGAGGGGGGTGTTAGGAGAAAAGCAACATAAATAGGTGGCAACATTAAAACGCAACGATCCCATCCAATCCAATCCTGTGCGAACCTCCAAAGAGGAAAACAACATTTTTTATTTTTTTAGGATACTGAAAATACAAGTCTCAAACATTTAGGAAACGGGCATTTCGCCTTCCGCCCAACGGTGGCATTAAACTATCCGGAGGAAACCTGTTCGGTAGCCTCCGCTTCCTCGCTCTATAGTAAACGCGATCCGGATCGTCAACCTCAAAAGCCCCCGTAGTACTATGACTACATTCCACCGGAACATATTGTAAAAAAGCACGGAAAGTCGTCGCGGAGAGAATATGGATATGCCGTCATCGACACTTTCGGTCTTTTTTTTTTAAAAAAGATTTATGGAGAGATGTGCGTTTGTGTATATGTCAACGTAATGGCTTCGTCTTCATTTTAGACGCTTCATTTTAGACGCTAGGAAAAGACCTGGGGTGGGCAATAAAATAAAAATAAAATAAAATAAAATAAAAATAAATAAAATGATTCTAATGTGACTTTTAAGATTTGGGATTTGAAGGGCGGGTACAAAAAGAAAAAAAAAGAAAAGAAAATCACCCACCCACCAGTTCCAGATCCGGAACGATTCAACAGCAACGTTTGGAAGAGGTTCAAGTGCCTGTTTAGCTACGCACGCGCGGAAGAGCTACAAGCGAAGGAAAGAAGGGAGGGAGAAAGAGAGATGGGTGAAAAACAAGCGTCCAGAGAGTTTTTCTCCCTTCCTCATTAAGAGAGTGTGTGGTGTCTATGCAAGAAGCGCCCAAATTCTCCCCTGCCTGTCTGGCTCCCTCGGACCAGGCGGGGTGGAAGGGAGACGCGGGAACCGGGGGAGGGGGGGTAGGGGGGGAAACCGAGGAAAAAAACAAGGCCGTTCCCAGGGGAAGGCAACCAAGGGAAACCAAGTTCACTTCTCACCCCACCATCACCCCCACCCCCAATTCGCACAGGGGCCCGGTCGAGTTCGACATTTGGGGAAGGGAGGGGAGGGGAATCCTCGCACAGACCTGTAGCTACCTGCTTCCCCCCCCTCCCCCAAATCGAAACGGATTGACTGACATTCGCGAATGCAAGCTCTACGCGATACATCAGGACGCGATGGGGTGGGGGGGAGCTTTTTTTTTTTTTCCTCTTAAAAAACGCGCCTACCCTCCCCACCATTTGGGAGGAAAGTGTTTTTCCTTTTTTTTTTTTAAAGAAACACGCATCTCCTTCCATTCACGTCAGGACTTTCAGAGTTCCTCCTTTATTATATTATTATTTTTGCACGGATCAAGTAGTAGTGAACCACCCACTTTAAAAAAAAACCGAGGCTGTTTTAACGGGGGGAGAGAGAGAAGAGGGTCTCTTCCCTCTCCCTCCCCCCCCCCCCCCGACGGCTGGCCAGCTAGGAAGAAAACAAGTTTCTAACTTCGACTTCGCCCTTACCTTGTTTTGAAAAGACCAAGGCTTCGTCCCTCTGCACTTGGGTGATGATAGACCGGCTTTCCATCTAACAATCCCACAGACCCTGGGGATCCTTTAGTCCGGAGGAGGGAAATATCCGAGGAGGAGGAGGAGGAGGATGAGTGGGGGGTGGGGGGAGGGAGAGGAAGCAAGAGAAGGAATGGGCGCGATGGAGAAGGGAGTCCGCCCCGCTCCTCCTTCAGTTGCAAAGCCGAGGAGTAAGCTCTTTGCAAAGGCAGCCGTGTAGATGCTCCTCAGATCGGGTCCAACATGGAGAATCCAGGGCTGAAGCAAAAGTGGGGGTGGGGGGGTGGGGGGAGGCAACCCCACACTCTCTCTCTCTCCTCTCGCGCACACACACACGCACAACACAACACACGCACAAGCGCGAGGAAATGGGACACAGGCGGTTTCCAGTCCTCTCCCTCCAGATAAACAACAAGCGAGCTCCGGTTCCTTTCTGCGCTTCGCTTCCGCCCGGCGGCTTTCCACAAATCGGACCAAAAACAGGCTCTCCGCCGTGCATAAGGGCCCAAAACGGGGAGCCAAGCCGAGGAGGGGGCGGGGGGGGGGGGCCGTTGGAAGAAGCCCCGTTACTCTTGCAACCTTCGACGCTTTTGTTATTTTGTTACCACCAGCCCAGTGGCTCTCTACACAGGGAGTAGCCTTGAAACCGCTCCAGCGTTTCCATTGGCCCAGAGAGAGAGAGGGAGAGGGAGAGAGAGAGAGCGAGGGGAGAGCGAAGGAGGCGTGGCTAAAACTCTTACTATGCGGTGTTTACCTAACAAACATTCCAGGCGCCGGAGGAAAGAGAAGGGCAGGCGTGGCCACGCCCCCTTTGGGGCTGCCCGCCTTGTAGGACGACTGGCTTCTCCCAACAGGCACCGCTGGCTGAAGGGGAGGGGAAGGGAGGGGGGGGGAGAAATGTGTAGGAGGGGAATTGGAAGATTTTGAAGTTTTACATTCGGGAGGCTGTGCAACGCCCTCCGAGTGAAAGAAAATAAAATTTTAAATTACTGCAAGGAATGTTACAGCCTCTCTCTCTCCAGGGAGAATGAAAGCCGATCCTTTCTGTTCCTCGGGTACTGTATACCCTCCCGATACGTTACTGGACTATATTTGGAGTAAAAGAAAAATTAAAAAGCAGACCAGCGTAACTTAAACGTTGACGGGCCCGCCCAGTGGTTCTTAAAAACTGCAGATCGGCGCCTTCCCCGAGAATCTGGCCTCTTTTTTTTTATTTATTTTAAAAAAAACAAAAGTTGAAAGTCGATTCTAAAACGAACAGGAAACGGTGGCTCTGCTTTGCGATGGCTCTTGTAAATTCACGATTAAAGTCGTCCCGTATTGTAGTCTTGTTTGTTTCTTCTCGGTGATGTAGCTGCCCTCTTTTTTTTTTCCGGAAGAGCGGGGTGTATATTTATAGACAGGGAAGCAAGCAGAACTCCGAAGAAGTTAGTAACTTTTATTAGATGAAAAACCCTTATGTATATATATATACCCTTATATATATGCAATTTTTATATAGCTCTTACTTACTACAATATATGCAATTTTTTATATAGCTCTTACTTACTACAATATATGCAATTTTTATATAGCTCTTTCTTACTACAATATATGCAATTTTTATATAGCTCTTTCTTACTACAATATATGCAATTTTATATAGCTCTTACTACAATATATGCAATTTTTATATAGCTCTTTCTTACTACAATATATGCAATTTTTATATAGCTCTTACTTACTACAATATATGCAATTTTTATATAGCTCTTTCTTACTACAATATATGCAATTTTTATATAGCTCTTACTTACTACAATATATGCAATTTTTATATAGCTCTTTCTTACTACAATATATGCAATTTTTATATAGCTCTTACTTACTACAATATATGCAATTTTATATAGCTCTTTCTTACTACAATATATGCAATTTTTATATAGCTCAGGTCCCCGCATGCATTTACACTTCAGCCCCTTAACACATTTCCCCTGTTTGGTTTTAGAATGGTTAAAATGGCACTATTCGATATTTCCGGTCGCATTTCTGTATCTCTTTTCTCATGCTCCACTAAATCCACTAAAAGTCCCCCAGTTAGATTTGGGGGGGGAAATAATAAGAGTTTAAAAATGGTAAAGGATGTGATTGGTTGAGGAACGGAGTCTTAGCTATTTTTCCTAAGAAACCAAACAGAAAAGCAGTAGGCAAACTGCATATGCCCATTTGAGTGCTGTTGTAGGATCAGCTAGTTCATCAATCTTCTCTTTCTTTTTATCTCTGTTGACATTGGGCTCCAAAGCAAGCGGAGTTAACATTTGGTCAGAACTGAAATGATGATTCATATTAAGCTTTGTGTCCCCTAGTAAATACCACTCTGTAGTTGGTATGTAAATACATAACCATGTATGTATTTGCTGTAACACATTGAACAGAGTCAAATTAACCTTGGAAGTGTAGAGGAAATGCTTTTTAAAAATGGATGCTGTGCTGACCCCATTACATAAGAAAAACAAAGCATATTGCAGAGATTGTGGGCGCTTTCCCTGTCTGGACTGTAGCAGTTTGTTATTCCAGATCAGGGAATAACCTGGCTTCATCTGATGGAGGAGAGGAACTTTCAGGAAAAGGATCTGGAAAGAACTGATATCGGCACCATTGAAAAATAAAACGGCAATCTCCAACTTGTGGCAAAGGATACTGCATCTAGAGAGGCTAAACCAGGGGTCTGTAACCTTAAACACTCAAAGAGCCATTTGGACCCATTTCCCACAGAAAAGAAAACACCAGGAGCCACAAAACCCTTCCCGTGCCTGACTATTTCTTAAGTGGCCACAAAACTAGCATATGTAGTTGAATTAAACGTTCTGTTTTCTTCTGAAACTTTTCTTGGATTTATCCATGGTTGGCCTACCGGGGGTTGAAAAGCTCAATAAATCGCATGCTGGCGGGTGTTGCACATCGGGGGTTCTGATGCATATTTTGAATGACGGAGCCACAGAAGAGGGGTGAAAGAGCCACATGCGGCTTCAGAGCCACAAGTTGCTGACCCCTGGGCTAAACTGGTTTTCTGTTACATCTGAAATAAACTAGAATGTCATTTTATGAACACTAGTAATAGCTGTAGAAGGGATGCGGTGGCTCAGTGGCTAAGACACTGAGTTTGTCAATCAAAAGGTCAGCAGTTCAGCGGTTCGAATCCCCAGTGCTGGGTAACGGGGTGAGCTCCCGTTACTTGTCCCAGCTTCTGCCAACCTAACAGTTCGAAAGCAGGTAAAAAATGCAAGTAGAAAAATAGGGACCACCTTTGGTGGGAAGGTAACAGCGTTCCGTGCGCCTTTGGCGTTTAGTCATGCCGGCCACATGACCATGGAGACATCTTCAGACAGTGCTGGCTCTTTGGCTTTGAAACGGAGATGAGCACCGCCCCCTAGAGTCAGGAACGACTAGCACATATGTGCGAGGGGAACCTTTACCTTTAATAGCTGTAGAAAGTTGATTTGATCACAACTAAGGCAGGACATATAAAGAGGGGGGAAAAGGAATGGCAAAATTGCAGTAGATAGGCCTGAACCTTGCTTTTATAAGCCGGAATCTTTACATTTTGCAGCTGGATCTCCAAAATCTGCTTCTACCTTTCCATGGAAAAACATAAGGCAGAACCTTGAACGCTGATGATGTTCTTTGGGATGGGAAAGGAAGCAGCCCTAGCAATGAGGAAGTGCTGGAATGGGGCCTTAAAGTAGGTCCCCTAAAAACACCTTAGTGGTTTAGACCAAAAGACCCATCTGGTCCTGCATTCTCTTTGCCACAAAAACTAGCCACCTGCCTTGGAGCATATCCCACCAGCACGTCATGTTCCTGGGGTTAGGCCTTGCAGTGTGGAATCAGCAAAACAGGAATGGTTGTTTACATACCTTTATTATGCCTTTCTGCCATTCCTCTGTAGTTAGTCCTATGATATGGCAGTCTAAACTAAGGCTACTTGTGCACACACTTCGCATCTATACAGAAGATCCTAACTTCTCCAGAATGTCCAGAAGAAAGCATCTCTGAAATTCTGGAGAAATCTGTTTGATTCTATATAAAAATTATTTCAGATGGATCTATAACTAGATTCCCAGCATTAGCCAAATTTAGCTTGCTGCACGACGTTATTACAGAATTAAAATATGAGCCTAGAAATTTATTTTAAATATATAAAAACTCATACCTTTTCCACACAAAAAATATACTCTTGAATAATATGAAGGGGTTTTTTTGGTGGGGATGGGAGGAGTTTTTAACTGTTACAGTTACTATGCAAGTGGGTATATCTTTTTGATCTTCTGCAAATCAGGTCTACCAACAGATTTGATTTACTCTCTATCCTTACCAGAATAAACGATGATCTAATTCAGAGGCGACCAACCTTTTGGCTTGCCTGGGCTGCATCGAGTGAAAAGGAGTAGTCTTGGGCGACATATAAAAGATGTAGTATCGCTAAAAAATGCTAAAAATTATATAATAATGTTAAAGGTTTATGATCTTGTGGGGCCACATTACTTGCTGTCCGGGGCTGCATGAAGTCCATGGGTTGGACCAGGGGTGAAATCTACTTACCTTCCTTACCAGTTTGGAAGTGCATGCACCCGGCGCACGTGTGCTTTGCATGTGTGCTTTGCACGTGTGCTTCGCTAGCATGTGTGTGTGTGCGTCATGTGCACATGCAGACCTGTGAATGCGCAAAACCTGTGTATGCGCAAAACCTGCATATGCGCAAAACCTGAGCATGTGCAGAAGGTAAAAAAACACATTACTTCCTGGTTAAAACCAGGAAGTAATGACACCCGGGCAGATGGGCGGAGCTTCACTCTGCCATCGCTACCGGATCGCCGAACCACCAGCCAAGATTGCTACCGGATCGGGCAATCTGGTCCGATCCGGGAGCATTTCACCTCTGGGTTGGACACTCCTGATCTAAATGAATCATTGATTTATTTCAATGACTAGATTTCCACATTGCACGGCCTTTTTTTACCATGGTTTGTTGAACAAGTAACCATAGGATACTTCACACCTAAATTCAAGCACCTACGTAAGCCAACATTAAACCACATTTTAGTTTAGTACAAGGTGTGAAGCTAGCTAGGTATAATGTAGTTTCCCATATTGCCAAATCCCATGATACTATATTGTCTGTGTGCGTGTGTGAGAAAGAGAAAGTGAGAGACCAGCACACAAATGTAATAATGTGTTTGGTCCATTTAAATGTCTCAGCAGGTGGCAGCACCTGGCTGATCAAGTCTGGGCTCAAAAGTTCAGGAGGCTTGAGCCTGCCGGGATGGGGGACCACCAAGGAATCCCGTGACCGTATGCTAGACTGGGAAGTAAGCAATCCTCTTGGAAAAAGGGATTCACAAAGTGAACTTCCAGATTATAGTCAAGAAAACTGCATCTCCATATCAACAGGAACAAGCATAACTTGAATAAGATTTTACCTTATTCAGGTAGTCCTCAACTTACAATAGTTCATTTATCTATGATTCATACAATAGTTCAACTTCGTTCGAAGTTACAAGGGCATTGAAAATATTTCGCATAGCAATATCTTGCCTTCAGGAGTTGTGGGTGTTCCATTACTAGAGGCTTTCAAAAAGATACTGGACAACCATTTGTGTGA